CGGTTGACAGTTCTTCTCAGACGCTGGACATTGCTGTATTGATCGTATCAGGACTTCTTTGCTTCCCATTATTTTTTCTGCCTTTGTTCTGTTTTGTCGCAGCTTGAAAGAGGAAATGATGCAATGGGAAGGGGGTTTTATAGTACCTAACTTTTTTCTGATTAGTTGTTTTTCTGTGCTGCTGTGGAGTTCTAGTAAAGAGAGACTAAAGCAAATACGAAGCCTCCTAAATATCCTGTTTATTTATGCAGATTACTGTTAGCTTTCCATGTGTTTATTTATACAGATTACTGGTAGTTTGCCATGTGTTTATTTATACAGATTTCTGTTAGCTTTCCATGTGTATATGTCACAGATTTCTGTGAGTTTCCATATGTAGATATATCACAGATTGCTGTGAATTTCCAGGTCTTATATCACAGACTACTGTGAGTTTCCATGAGTATATATTCCACAAATTACTGTGAGTGTCCATGTCTATATATCACATATTACTGTGAATTTCCATGTAGATATGTCACAGACTACGGTGAGTTTCCACCTAGATATATCACAGATTTCTCTGATTACTGTGAGTTTCCATGTGTATATATATCGCGGATTTCTGTGAGTCCTTGGGCAGTATATACTTATATCACGGATTCTGTGAGTTATAGGACAGTGTATACATAAATCACAGATTTCTGTGAGTTCTATGTCAGTGTATATAGCACGGCTTGCTGTGAGTCTTAGTGCTATAGATATCACGGATTGCTGTGAGTTTCACTGATGGTAGATGTCAGTCCTGTCTGTGCCGATACTATTCTATCTTATCAGGCTTCTTGGGAAGATTCATTGAGTTGCTAATTATTTTTGCCCGACTCCTGAAGAGACCATGAGTACAATACCCTTCAGGCGGTACGATGATGATGATGACCTACAATAAAGATAAGATATCTCATACGGATCTGTATGTACATGTGCATTACAATTTGCACTTTAAAGAAGGTATTGCTCAGCAGAGCTTGATTTTATGGACACTCACTGGAACATGTCCAGCTTAAACCCAATACAACTGGTTTTACCTCTATGTTGCCTGCTGGGCACTTAGGGACCGCCAGTCCCGGTTTTGGTTTATTCACACAGTAGTATGCTGTCTAAGATTAGTGTCTAAGGGTACTAGGTCACAGGATACCCGGAGGATTTACAGATATTTAGGGGACTCTGCCAAACTCAGAGGTCCCCATTACTCATTTAATATGAAACCCAGGATTGGCCTGCTATGTCTCTGCCCCATTAATTGGCCTGCTATGTCTGTGCCCATAAGATTGGCCTGCTTTGTCTGTGCCCATAAGATTAGCCTGCTCTACATGTGCCCGAACCCCCCTTTGGACCACAAACCGGGGGAACATCACTGAAGTAAGCTCAGTACCCTCTAGGTGGGTGTCCGGACTGGCACTGCTGCCATATTATCCAAGAGGACACCAGGATATGGACATCTAACTGTGATTGGAGGGGTGAAGACCCTACACCTCATGCCCTGAAGGGCAAAGTTTTTATGAGAATTCCCGGGCACGCAATTACAGGTTATACCCAACGACGACACATCCCCAAGGGGAATTTCGCACAAGCAGGGAACAGTGCTCAGACGCCATATTAGGTATTGGTAGTGTTTTTTCTATGTCATGTTTAGCTCCTGACCTTTTCAACTGGATTCACTTGATTAGTTTTTTCCAGTCTGCTATCCGACCTGCTTTCCGAGGTACGTATTTTCCATATTCTACTTCATTGGTCGTTTCTTTGTTTTCGTGCCTTCTATTGTCCTATCTCTCGGGTTGTCGAGAGGCCTGACTTGACCTCCTCCGACCTCCCGGGCACTTGTGGATTGCGGAGAACGTCTCCAGCTTTCCTCAGACTACCGACGGTCATCCTGGAGCCCGCGCGCAGGCACGGGATCCGGGCGGTCCGTTGATATTTACCATCTTCAGCTCCGAAACGTACTTTTTCTCATCACCCCTTTCTCTTAAGGTTGGACACGGCCCGAGGTTGTATACTTTGCTTATATTATTTAAGGGTGTAACCCCACGTTTGGTCACCCGGAGTCTCTACTGGACTCTGGCTTGGATTACAGAGGGTGCAGCCCTCCTTCACCTCGGCCCAAGACTGATATTTTTATTTTCAAGAATAGAGGGCAAACCCCTCTCATTTACCGAACCGGACACTGATTCATTATTAGAGGGAGCGGTCCTCCCTCAACCTTGGCCCGATACTGAGCTGGATATAGAGGACATGCTCCGAGTGACTCATTCTCATAGAAGGAACCGGACACAGAGGTAGACTCTCAGTTTGACTTCTAATGGGTGCGGCCCGCTCATACCGCCAACCGTGCGCGGACTCCGAGTGCGATCACATTTTACAGAGTGCGACTCTCTGATACACTCAACGCACTATGGTGCCGTCCATTTGTTCCTCACACAGGCTTGTACCTGTACAGGTCAACTATGAGGGGCGTCCCTCCTACATCCAATTTAAATATGATGACCGCGCTACTGATTTCGTTCTAGAGGGCTACCTGATCGGGCAAGGTATACATAGTTTGACTGGATCCATCTTGTAATCCACATGAGAAATACTCTCAGAGGTATTAGTGGGGGAGGTTTCCCACTTATGTACACACATTCCGGGAGACAGTACGGCTAAGGAGGAGCCTCAGTTTTTACAAGAGTACAGGTTTTGGTATAACCTGTGCTATATCAAACAGACATTGCACTCTGTTTCAGATATTCATTGTGTACAAACTGTACAGACTACTCTCCCGTGTCAGGGTGACTTGAGATCCTGAGACCTGCATAGGGCAAATGGGCACTGCCTTGCTTGAGTAACAAGACTGGAAAAATTCACATAAACGGTCTTCAGGTGCACCGTAGGCATGGATCGCATGGAGAAACCGAAATTCTCAGAATTTGGCTTCCCTGGTCCTTACAATCTTGAGATAAAGTTGGCAGGACTGCTCCTACAACTCTGAACACATCTTGAGAACAGTGTTCGGACTCTATATCCATCACGGGAACCATCTTGGTTTGAGTTCTCACTAGCCTTCCTATTCAACTACCATCAAGGAAACCTACACTGGGAGATACATGCTTGGACAGTCTATGAGACAGGAACCTAGGGGTCTCACTATATTATTCCCTATCTTGTAGGTGGCGTGTAGGCCAGGAATATTGACAGGTCGGGCATGGAACAGGATTGTACAAATGGTAATCAGAGTATTTCACACTCTCACTGCAACACATAAGGGCTCTTCTGTGTTATACGGGTCCTAAACTCTATTGGATCCAACCATCTTGGCACTCTTAGAGGATGTATTTGGATGGAAATCTCAACCCCGGTTTCCGGTCCCATCCTTTTGAACTTTCCAGGATCCACAATTCCCAGAATAGTTGACCACCGTTTACCACACGAGTTCAGTTTGAGACCTTGATTGAACGCCCTTTGGCTGTCTTCTAGACCGCAGCTGTGGATTACGCAGTCCAGTTGGTAGACTGGAGTCTCTTAGGATACGACTAGTATTGTCCACACTATTATCTGCATATAACTTTATTTTCGGAGGAGACAATTCACCAGGTAGGTCATAAAGGAACGAATAGACACTATTCGGTTCTATTCGATTATTGACGGTGGACTTAGGCGCGGGCCTGAGGTTGGAGTTTGTCTGCAAGGCCACATTGCCTGGTGAACCTGACATGATCGGAGGAATCACCTCCCACATCAAGAGTCGAGACACGGTGGAAGTCTCTTCTCGCGACCCCTCGGCACTTTACACCTACAGGAATATGGCTAATAGGTCAACTTGGCAGCTCATGGACCGACTTCTAGGGAACAGGTCGTAACCCCACGTACAATGGATCCATCAACGGAGGTCACTTCTCGCAGTTGGATGGTCCATTTAGGATTGCTCTATTATTCTCGGAATGGGTACCAGCGAAACAAGCAGTGTTGGATTTGTTGGCTGAGCGTTAAAACAGCAAATACGAAGCCTCCTGTCATGTTATAAAATTGTAGATTATGTTAGCTTTAGTGTACCTATAATCTTAATTTTATTAATGACAGGAGGCGAGTATTTCCCACCCATTCTTATCCCTCCCTTGTTTAATTTTATAGTTTGGATTTATCAGGTACGTATACAACTCTGCTTGTTGTTTCTGCTACCTGTCACCTGTCCTATGTCTGTTTTTCATAAGTAGGGTTGGGATATCTACATATTAAGGTAATTTTGTTTGCTACATTGGGTATCTACAAGTTTATTCAAAATACATTTCATTGGATAATCAACCTGTTCGATTCGGTTTTTCTCTCGTTTCAGTTTCCAGTCCTTCAGCACTATCTGGTGTGGCGCTTCTTCGTGGATGGTGGACATTGACTTATTTATTTTCAGTCCATCAACGCTATCCGGTTGACAGTTCTTCTCAGACGCTGGACATTGCTGTATTGATCGTATCAGGACTTCTTTGCTTCCCATTATTTTTTCTGCCTTTGTTCTGTTTTGT